CTTGCCAGCTTTGGGTTGCCCGACGCCCAGGCGTCTCATTGTCCTTCCAGAGCTCCCAGAGACCTATGGGCCTGGTCCATGAAACGAATCCAAGAATGCCGACAGAAACGCCTTCCACGTTTCGGACGCTCACGCTACCTGGCCGGTGTGTTCATCCGCGCCGCCGGTTACGACGCTTATTCGCCAGGCGTCGGTGGTCTGGACGACTCGGATGACGAAGAGCCTGCGGCAATGCTTGGTAGGCCAGCAACGGACAGGAAAACCGGCAACGACGATATGCTGATGGCGGTGCTAGGAGCGGCCAAGAGTAAACGTCTCAAGAACGTCCCCAAGTGAAGCATTTTGACACATCTTCCTCACTAGACTTTTATTTTCCGTTTGCAGACTTCAGAGCGTTGCCAGGCTTGGTGGCATCTACCTTCCGCCATCCAAACTCCAATAATCTTTCAATATTCACATTTTCACCCGGTCTAGCCCAACTTTCCTCACACCATGTGAAGCTACAACTAAATTCCTTCTTCGGCTTTATGTATCGTGAATTCAAGCATTCTTTTAATTTGCCTTTTGGAAAGCAATGCCACGGCCTATTCTGGCCCATTTTCACTCAAAGCTCCTCGACCTCAAAATATTCGCTATGAATACATATGGCCAGAAGTTTAGTCCATTCCCAAAGGTTCATAATCATGAAATCTTAAGTTCTGACTCGGATCCAATTAAGCCAAAGTGAGCATTCATTGTTTTAGCTCCACTTCAGACGCTATCTTCATTCCTACCCCGCTTATGCTGATTTTCTTGTAATACTAATAATTTATAAATATTTTGATTACAACATTCGAGTGGGGCAGAGGAAAGCTTGAGGGATTAAGATCTGTATGTTCATATATGCCCAGTATACGCATCAGGAACATTGATTTTGCTCCGAATTGATTTCTTTTTCAAGCACCGTGATAGCTCATTACTCCTAATTCTACCAATTCTAAACTAGAAGTTTTTGTGCAACTATGCCTAATACCCTTTCCGTAATTTTCTCTCCCCCTCGAATCTGATCACCTAAGAGCAGGTGACTTCTGGAATTTTGATTATTTTTTGTTTCCTGTTGGTATACCAAATTGACTGGTATCTTTTATCCTGACAATATCATTTTGATGCATCGCCAATTTTTAAAAGACCAGTCCCAATACTTCTTATTTAGGTTGCGCCTTATGTTTTTTAACTATATTTTCTATATATTTGTAACCAAAATATCTATTTATGCACACTTGGTATCTGTCTATTTTTTATGAGCTTAAAACTGATTTTATATGCTTAATGTGACACTGAATTTAGCTGGGTTTCTAAGACTGATTATTTTGTTCCATAAATAGAGTTTTTAATGTCATAATTACCAGGAGTTTATATCCAAATGAGGCCTCTAAAACTTGACTTGCTGCACATAGTATGCACTTTCATACAAAATGAAAGTCTCCACAACAATTTTATCTTAAGAAATTTATCAACCCCCAGTATCTGCAAATATTTATGTTATAGCATATGATATCAAGCCAGGAGCTACTATTATTTCTGCACCTCCGCTTCTAACTCAGAAATCTCAATCAATAACATCTAGGAGAGTAGAATCTACAAAGTTAATTTTTAGCGATCGTGTAGTGTTGTGAATGCTAGCTCTACAAACGATAAATTCCTGTGTGTTAATGAGAGTACAGCAGCCAGGGAATTATACCTCACCCTACAGAGTCACTACAAAGCCAAGCATATTTCGCTGTTAATCAAATTGTCACGTGTTGACCCTTTGATCCTTTTGGAAGTTTGCATAATGACTTTGACGTGGCGATGGGTCAAAGCTCGGAGATATAAAGAAAGACCAGAGTTAACAGAGTCCTGTAATAATTTCACATTTTTGGATCTTTTATTTTGCGCGTCAATATGAATAGAACGGATAAGGACTGTTTTGGATCGTAGTTCTCAATTAAATACAGTACAACTCCTATGAGTCAGTGTTGGGTTCAGCACTCTCTTCACACTTTTATACTAATGAATTTATATTACCAGGTAACTTCTATGTACGTGCTCCTTCTTCGACTTACGGTATGGCCAATTTTATTATCTCCCCCATGCGATGTTATAAACGAAATATATGGTTAAGCAACTTGCAGTTATTAAGAGATACTTCGAAGTTCAGCCTCTTCATATCTACTACGTCGGCATGTCGGATATAGGAGACGCCAATAGGGAAGTATAAAGTTGGGAAATCTGTCTCCGCAAATCCCAAGAAGCCTCGCTTCCCCTAAGAGGAGGAGGCAATTTTTACTATTTTATATCTATGAAATCTACCTATTTCCTTTATTACAAGTAAGTTTTACAAAGGTAATATAGTTTCTATTAAGAATATAAGCTAATTTTCTCATAGCTTAATTTCATTAAATAAGAACTTATTCATCTGGGCTTTAGAAGGAGTTAAGGACTACTAGTTAAGTTTTCATTCAATTACATGATTAGAACTCACAATTTCATTCCATTTCACTTAACCTTGCTTCCTAAACGCTATTTACTTCAAATTGAAATAGTGATTTAACGGAAGCCCGGCTTGCCTGTCGAATCTGCCCTCTGTCCCGTATGTGGCTGTGAGGTAGTAACGACAATGCTATTCGGTATCGAATCCGACTGGGGTGTTGGACAGACTTTGAGGCAAGGTAGAAAGTAGAGTCTACTCCAATTTGGATAATATAACTTTTTGCGAAGCAAGACTATGTGTAATTTACTGCCATCGTGAGACCGAGCTATCTCATTATGGGAAAAAATTCAAGTCTTTCAACTGATTCAAAAGAACTAGAGTCACCAAATTCTTAATCAAGAATTACTGGCATTCTCAAAAACAACTTTCATCAAAAAGTAATTGAAATGCCTATATAATATTTATAGGCATAACTCATATTTTAGCCATTTCTACTCAACGATTGAATACGCTAGTATTCAATTCGTTGACTAATTACTAAACTTAAAATTATCTAAAAAAGGTTTTAGGTTAAATTTGAAATAAGAAATGAGACTTAAGATCGGAAGGTAAGAATTAAACCAACTTTATCTCACGGCTGATAGCCTCGATATGTCACATGCAAAGCTATAACAAATTTTTAACTGAAAAGAGTACGCGTAAGTAATAGCAATCGTGATAAGTCCAAGGAAATCAAATATGTCAACGTAGACGAGATTGGGTCTGAGCATATGAAAGCAGGCCTATAAGAAACAACATAAAAAAGAAAATAGATTCGGTTAATCACAGAGAAAAGTCAATAAAATAAAATAATTTTTTATCTTATTTCAACTCGACTCATTTCAATTCATCTGGGCTAAGCTCATTTATCTCAGTCTAGCGAAGTTCATCTCATCTCATCACATCTAAACTAATCTTATATCATCGAACAAAGTCAGGAAATCTCATTCCATAAAATATCATCTCGTAATCAAAACATCCTAATTCATCAGATCTCAAAGCATCATATTTGATCTTATCTCATCTCATCTCAATTAATTTCATCTTATCTCATATATTCTTATCTATTCTCATCATATCTCATCTCATTTCAACTCAACTCATCTTATCACATCACATCTCATCTCATCTCATCTCATCTCATCTCATCTCATCTCATCTCATCTCAT